AATCCACCAATCAATCAACCAATCACCCAATCCATCGATCCATGCATCAATCAACAGAGTCCGTCGGCCAGAGCAGTCAGCAATCAATCAATCAATCAATCAATCAATCAATCAATCCACCAATCAATCCACCAATCAATCAACCAATCACCCAATCCATCGATCCATGCATCAATCAACAGAGTCCGTCGGCCAGAGCAGTCAGAATCCCACCTTACATTCCATTTCGGTGATGGGTCACCGAAGGGGGTTTGGGGGGTATAAACCATGACTAGAGGGATTAAAAAGGGTATACGTTAAGATTCTTAACAATCTTAACTCATGCTTTCTCATTTATTTTTATCTTGAAATTGACAAGGAATTCTGATGTGACCCTCAGCCAAAAGTTGTTGTTTGTGACTTTCTATAGCAATTCTACGTAACTGTCACAACCGTTTTTTTCCCGGCATTTTTCGAATGTTTTTTTTTTTCTTTCTCCTTTGGATTTGTTGAAATATTATGCGCTGGGACCGCCCGGGACCCTGCCCAGACCCTGCCCGCTCGGGCTTCCCGAGAGGGCACCCGTGCGATCTTCCCCCAGCCAGGCCGCCCGGGGACCAGCTTAGTTTTTGCAGTACTTTTTCGGTACTTTTTGAGTGCTTTTCAGAGCTTTTTCAGTGCTTTTTCAGAGCTTTTTCAGTGCTTTTCAGTGCTTTTCAGTGCTTTTTCAGTGCTTTTCAGAGTTTTGTGAAAGGATTCACAACCTCAGAGTCCTGTCCTGGTACCCAGTCCCCATTTCCCTTGTATTATAAGCGCCGAAGGGTAGGCCTACTAGAATTTCCGGCCTTCCATTAACCATCTCTCACACAGCACACGTGGGTGGTGTCATAGGCGCTGAAGGGTAGGCCTACTTTAATTTTGTTTTCTTTTGCGCGTTTGTTTTTATGCCGTATAAGAGGCCGCTTTGTCTTATACAGGTGCCTTCGCACTAGAGTCAAGAATCTATCATCTTGAATCTTCTTATGCAGAAGACTATGTTTGTACTATGAGCCTGCATTGTTTGTTTCCAAAATTTTCCACCGCATTGCTTCTGGCGATGCCCCGAAAAAAACCGAATTTCTGGCCTTCCATTAACCATCTGTCCTGCACAGGTACGGTATAGATAGGCCACACAGAAACCAGTAAGGAGGGGGGGGGTCTCTTATACACATCTAGATGTGTATAAGAGACAGG